GAATTCCTCTGTGAAGTGGTTCAATGACGCCCACATCCTAATCCCAGACCTGTGAACACGTGACCTTACATGGCACAGGGGACTTTAGATGTGATTAAGGTTAAGGACCTTGAGATGGGGAGAGTATCCTTGATCATTCAGCTGGGCTTAGTATAATCACACGAGTCCTTAAAGCGGAGAATCTTTCCTGGCTTTTGTCAGAGACCTGTGACTACAGAGAAGTTAGAGAGATGCAATGCTGCTGGCTTTGAAGATGGAAGGAAGGCGGCCAGGAGCGCAGAAGAATGGGGGTTGCCGGCAGAGGCTGGGAAGGGCAAGAAAACAGATTTTCTCTAAGAGCCTCTAGAAAGGAACGCAGACCTGCCTTGATTTTAGCCCAGTGAGAAATGTGTTTGGACTTCTGACCCACAGAATTGTACAAGAATACATTTGTGTTATTTTAAGTCATGGAATGTGTGGTTCTATTACAGCAGCAATAGGGAATTTATACCTCTTAAGTTCCCCTGCCTGCAAAGAAAGGGACCGTCTCGTAGCCCCATCCCAAGTCAAAATCTAAGCTTCTGACTGCCCTTTCCTAAATTCTTATTCAGTAAGAGTGTTAAAAATAGTGGCAAAGGTCAGGGAATCAAAGGGGGAACCCCCAAATCCACCCCCAAAATGCAGATGGGAAGAACAGCAAGCTGGATTGAGGACCTTTGGTCCAGCAAGTTGCACTTGAATAAATAAGAAATATCTGGTTACTAGACACTTCAGAAAGAGAAGTGAGAACTTTAGGAGATTAGCATAATCCTCTGTGGAGTGTGATTTTAATTTATCAGATTCAGTTACGAAATATGCAGCCTGCCAGGTGTCTACTTTCAGCCCCAAGAAATGTGACTTCTGCAAGGTTCTGATTACCTCCATTGTAATGCCACCTTAATCACAGGGTTATCTAATGATCATACCATCCTCTCTTCTATGAGAGGATTTTCAAAGTAAAATTGGCCAAGATGAAGAGGAGAAATCCGCCCGAAAGTGTTGTCACTTGGCTCACTGGAGAATTGAAACTTAACACAAGGTTTCCGAGAGCTTTGGTGCACACAGAATGTGTTTGTAGGCCAGGTTTGACATCTGATTTCACAAAAGTAAGAAAACGCAATTTTTAAAAATTGTGATTAAAAAACTCATAAATCGTGAGCCATTTTTAAGTGCACAGTTCTGTCATGTAAGAAGATTCACAGTGTTGTGAAACAGTCCCCCAGACGTTTTAATCCTGCAGAACTAAAACTCCACACCCATTAACAAACAACTCCCTATGTCCTTGCCTCCGAGCCCCTGGCAACAATCCGATTCTACTTTGCTGTTTCTATAAATTTGACTACGTTAGATACTGCAAATAAGTGCAATCACACAGCATTTGTCTTTTTGTGACTGGCTTATTTCATTTAACTTAACATCCTCAAGGTTCACCCATGTTGTGGTCTGTGTCAGAATTTCTCTCCTTATTAAGGCTGAATGACACTCCACATGTTGTTAATCCATTCATCCACTGATCCACTGATAAACCTTTGTGCTGCTTCCGCTTCTTGGCTATTATGAATTGTGCTGCTATTAACATGAGTGTGCAAATATCCCTCATTGAGACCCCCTTTTTTAAATTTTACTTTAAGTGAGACCCTTCTTTCAGTCCTTTTTGGTATATACCCAGAAGTGGGATTTCTGGATCATATGGTGGTTTGATTTTTAATTTTTTTCAGGAACTATCATAGCTTTCCACAGTGAAAACATCATTTTACAACCACACCAACAGAGCACAAGGGTTTCCGTTTCTCTACATCCTCCGAACACTTGTTATTTTCTGCTCGTTTTCTTACATCATAGCCATACGTATGAAGTGATATCTTGTAGTCATTTTGATTTGCCTTTCTAGAAAATGCTATTTTATGATGCACATTCACACTTTCAAGGTAATATCACAAACAATATTTATATATCATAGCACCAATTAAATTAGAAAAAAACAAACTAGACAATAATTTTTTTTTTTTTTTTTTTTGAGACGGAGTTTCGCTCTTGTTACCCAGGCGGGAGTGCAATGGCGCGATCTCGGCTCACCGCAACCTCCGCCTCCTGGGTTCAGGCAGTTCTCCTGCTTCAGCCTCCTGAGTACCTGGGATTACAGGCACGCGCCACCATGCCCAGCTAATATTTTGTATTTTTAGTAGAGACGGGGTTTCACCATGTTGACCAGGATGGTCTCAATCTTTTGACCTCGTGTTCCACCTGCCTCGGCCTCCCAAAGTGCCGGGATTACAGGTGTGAGCCACTGTGCCCGGCCGACAATAATTTTTTAACTTAGATAATTAGGACGATAAAATTAAAAAATGGAAGTTAGATTATTTGTGAGCTCACTGAAGACTACAGCCAAGAACTTTAATCTCAAGAAAGAATTGGAAGGCCCTTCAAAATCCTAAGAAATGCTATTATGTTGTCAAAGCTGACTTTGATGACAGATCTTGCCACTGACACAGTGTGGGAGAAGCCGGAAGATGAGATACTAGAAAAAGAAAGTCCTCCTTATTCATCAGGAGGACCAAAATAACGACAGAAAAAAGTAGAATCAAGTAAATATTTTAAAGAAAAGAGAAATGAGTAAGATCTGTGAATTTTTAAAACAGGTAATTTTTCAAAAAGAAAATTATATAGAATTGCACATTTGTAATACCAATAAAATATTGTTCATGTAACTTTGGAAAATGGAAGAAGAAAAGAAATACATCTGTACTACACTTGTTTTAGATGTCAATGGGATTCTCAACTGGAGCTGCCTTGTAGAGGAGAAACCACAAACACGTGTCAATATTACAGGTCAGATCTGAGGTAAGAAACGTAAGTCATCTATGTACCAAAACCAAATCCTCACTTTAAAAAGGATTAATACCCTCAGTACAGTTATAAAGCACTAAATCTTGGCTCAAATATGGAATGGTCTTTGGATGAAAACACAATCCATTCTGAGCTGGTTGAATATATACCTTAGTAAGTAACAAGATTGGATATCCACTTCCCCAGTCTTTCCTTTTTAAAGTTTAAAAAAACTGACTGTTTTGTGAATGTCTGCTTTAATGACCCAGATAAACACCAGCCAAGCCTTTGGAAGGAGGCGTCTCTAAGCCAGAACAAGAGTTGAGAAAGAAAAGTGAGAAAGTGAGAAGGAACCATCTCCTACCACATCCAGTTATTAAAATTAAAATGACCTTTTGTCTCTTTCTGTAAAAAAAAAAACACTGTTGGATTCTTCCACAATTCAAACTGGGGGAATATGGCAGTAAGGGTTTAATTCACTACTTTATAGCTTACTAGCCCATGATCCATCACACCCCAAACAAGGAAATGTGGTGGGGAGGGTGGCTGGAACCACCAAGAAATTGAAAAGCAATTCTGGTAGAAATAAAATTAAAACTAAAGTAAAAAAACCAGATGTCAGTCTTGCTATTAATTAAAATGCCTACTCAAGGATTTCACCTAAGTATCTTTCTCCCTTCACTTCTGATGGGCTTCATTACATTCTATCCCAAAATATGGCACCTTGGCATTTCAGAAATTGCAGAAGCAGGAACTCTCTGACTTTCCTTTCAACCTTCACCCTTGAAGTAGGCCGTAATGCTCTGACCTTCCTCCCTGCAGTTGGTCGTAAGATCCTCCTTCCAGAGGTATCCCACCTGTATCTGAAGGATAGAAACATCCTTATCCTCAAAGACACAGGGACTCCAGGAAGAGTTTGAACTGACAGGCCTTGGTAAGTTTCCCCTAGTGTACCTCTATTAGATCACACCCTGTTGTCCTCCAATCATATTTTTCCAAAACTATCCACTTCATCATCAAATTAGTATTTAAAAAATGCACAAGTTGGCCAGGCACAGTGGCTCACGCCTGTAATCCCAGCAATTTGGGAGGCCAAAGCAGGCAGATCACTTGAGGTCAGCCTGGCCAAATGGTGAAACTCTAACTCTACTAAAACTGCAAAAATTAGCCAGGCGTGGTGGTACACCCCTGTAATCCCAGCTACTCGGGAGGCTGAGGTGAGAGAATCACTTCAGCCTGAGAGGTGGAGGTTACATTGAGCCAAGATTACACCACTGCACTCCAGTCTGGGCAACAGAGCGGGACTCTGTCTTAAAAAAAACACATACACACTTGCCAGGCGTGGTGGCTCAAGCCTGTAATCCCAGCACTTTGGGAGGCCGAGGCGGGTGGATCACTAGGTCAAGAGATCGAGACCATCCTGGTCAACATGGTGAAACCCCGTCTCTACTAAAAATACAAAAAATTAGCTGGGCATAGTGACACGTGCCTGTAATCCCAGCTACTCAGGAGGCTGAGGCAGGAGAATTGCCTGAACCCAGGAGGCGGAGGTCGCGGTGAGCCGAGATCGCGCCATTGCACTCCAGCCTGGGTAACGAGTGAAACTTCATCTCAAAAAAAAAAACACATACACACAAATTTACTTGTTTCTTTGGGTCTTCATTTTCAAAGGTCCCATATTGCATAGAACTTATATCAAATATATTTATATGCTATTTTCACTTATTAATCCATCTTGTGTTATAAGATTCTCAGCCATGAACCTAGCAACAGATGAGGAAAAAAAATCTTTTCCCTTCTACACTTCCAACATATAAAAAATAGGTTTAATAAGCTTTTAGAACCAGGACACTTTTCTTCTAAGAATTATTTTATTCTTTCACTCATATTACTTTAATATTCATACATATATTCTGCCAAGTAAATAACCTTTCCAAATTACGTATCAGTCTATATGCATCATGTCAAATTTTCAAATCTCTATTTCCGCTAAGATACATATTCTACTTTGAAATCTTTCTGCACATTTATATGAATAAGTTATATATCTCTATAAACATATGCAAGCAATATAGTTGTTTTGGGTTATGATATAACAAAATAATTATAATACCAATGCAGTATATTATTTATTCATATGTGACACTGCAACAAAGTTTTTACACAAAAAACTGGTTTTATTAAAATAAAATTTACATAAATTATGCACAGTCTATTTGTGTGAAAGCCCCTCTTCAGATATATTTTCCACTTAGCTATACGTAACATATACCTTAGCATGAAATAAAATTCCAAAATCATTCGTAGTACAACTAATAAACTTGAATTGTATTTTTAGTGCCAAGAAGAAGAAACGTAACTGTTTAAGATTCAGTGGCAGTGACTTCTCGTTTTCCTACTCTTTTCACCTCTTAACCTGCTTCTCAGCTTTTGCTTCTAAGCGGAGGCAGGCTGAAGCACTAGCATGGGGTTTCAGAGCATTCTGCCTGTTTTACACATGCTGAGGATAAAACGTTTGGACTTAGGAATAAGCCCATCAAGACAAAATATTGGAGTGTCAATAATAACCCTTTTAAAAATGCCTGGTTCTTCAGACAAAGAAAATAAAAATCACCCTTCATTTTTACCCCCAATTAACTTCCAAAAATCAAAAAACAGGTTGGGCCTGTTCTGTGGTATGGTAGCCACATGCGTGTAGGGTCTGCTAGATTTCATTTTTGTCTCTATCCTGACCAAGAAACACACAGTGCCTTGACCCAGCCAGCTGATGGTTTCCTCTGCAGATCTGAACCCCAGCCCGGGCCTTGAACATTCCCAGGCACTGATAAAGGTGTTCAGGTTGTTGCTGGAAGCACTGAACGATCAACTGTGCTGCTAAACATGTAGAAGCCAGCCCGGCCCCCACCCAAATTCCTTACATCCTCATGTGAACTCCGTCACCCAACGCCCTCACTACGGACATGCCCAGGCAGAACATCCCTCGTCTCACTGCCCGCCATGAGGACACTGCAGCCCACACTGTACCTAAGTTCCCCTCTTAAACGCTTTGGACTGATCACCCTGCCATTTAGTGCTTCTTCCTTTAAAATCGCCAACTGGCCCCACCTTGGGACGGTTTGGAGCACTCTCTCACGGGAATTCCCCATCAAGTCCAGCCCGAGGCTGGTGTGACTCCAGCCTTGGGTTGGACCTGATGGAACAATCTGACTGTTTAAATGGAATTGAATTGAAAGACTGGTTCTTCAGTCACATCAGTCACGGTTCAAGTGCTCAAGAACCACGTGTCTGGTGTTTACCACCTTGCACAACCCAAGTACAGAACATTTCCATCACTGCAGAAAGCTCCACTGGATGGTACTGGGCTGGACCCCAGAGGAGAGGATTCATATAAAAAGATGCCGCTATATGCATATTTTCCTTCTTAGTCATAAAACCTGCTTGGTTTTCTTAGTTGTTATTATTGTTGTTGTTTGTTTTGTTTTTGAGACAGGGTCTCACTCTGTGACCCAGGCTGGAGGGCAGTGGCACAATCACAGCTCACTGCAGCCTCAATCTCCTGGACTCAGGTGATTTTCCCACCTCAGCCTCCTGAGTAGCTGGGAACACAGGCGGGTGCCACCACACCTGGCTATGTTTTTGTATTTTTTGTGGAGATGAGGTTTTGCTACAATGCCCACACTGGTCTTAAACTCCTGGGCTCAAACAATCCCCCGCCTCGACCTACCAAAGTGCTGGGTTTATGGGTGTGAGCCGCCGTAACCTGCCAAAGTTGTTTGTTTAAGCTTGTTTTCAACACCATCAGCCACAGTCTGTTCATTTTAGCCCAGGAGAGTGGTATAAAAATAAGAGATTGTGTATAATTTCTCCAAATCATGTGATGCTATGTAAGAGCCCAAAGTCCTGTAATGAATCTCACCTTTGCCAAATCAAACACAGTCCCATGGCTTCCTCCGCACTGAAGCATCTTTGCTATGGGCAGAGTCGTCCTGTGGTACCCACAAGGAAGCCTTGCTAGGAACTCCTTATCAGGGCGGACTGGTCATCTCCGTTACCCTATGCGGCCATCTTAGAGGGAGGGACTCTGAGAGCATTGCCTCTGCTCTTTACTGAGATGTGTCCCACGACCCCCAAGGTGACCACTCAGGTCAGGATGGCCATCCATGCAGGCCATTCAAGAATCCCCATGAGGAGCCAGCCCCACACTTCCTTAACTAGAGCTCCCCACGCACCATCTGAGCGTCTCATGCAGACATTCCAGCCTTTCTTTCTACCTTCAAGGCCCAGCTTGCACCTAACAAGTCTCTTCTGAGAGCCTACACTTGCCAAAATATAACTTAAAACATATGGAAATAGCAGTTTATATAAACTCAAGGAAGATTATTCTCAGTAAAAGAAATAATTACTCTTTCGAAATAACAAAACAAACTCTCATCTGATTAGTCCAACATAAATGCTCTTTTCACAATCCCTTTATCTTTTATTTTTTTGAGATGGAGTCTGGCTCTGTCACCCAGGCTGGAGTGCAGTGGCACAATCTTGGCTTACTGCAACTTCCGCCTCCTAGGTTCAAGAGATCCTCCTGCCTCAGCCTCATGAGTAGCTGAGAATACAGGAGCACGCCACCATGCCTGGCTAATTTTTTTATTTTTAGTAGAGACAGGATTTTGCCATGTTGGCCCGGCTGGTCTGCAACTCCTGGCCTCTGGTAATCCGCCCACCTTGGCCTCCTAAAGTGCTGGAATTACAGGTGTGAGGCTCCACGCCCGGCCCCTTTATCTTTTGATTCCTGAAAACAATGCACTCAACTTCAGTATTTGGTCTTTCAGTTATAATTCTTAAAAATAAGACACTTTGAAACATACTAAATGTGCATTACTTGGAAATAAGTGTATGCAAATGAACCTGGAAATATCAATATATAAACCAATTTTTCAATTCTCCAGTCCATAGAGGGAGGTATTCATGTACTTGACATTTGAAAACCATTTTTCTTAGCAACTATGATAGTGGTTTCTAGACTGTGTCCTCAAGCACAAACCATTCTTCCTGTATGACATGACCGTAACAAAGATTTACAGCCCCAGAGAAGAGTGAGATTTGCAGTCTTCTGAGGGATATTAAAGTTGAAGGCTAAAAGACACTTTGGTGGTATAGCTGGGAACAGATTCTGTAACAAAAAGAAAAAAATATGCTCAATCCTTCACCATTTTATTATAAAATCTAACCGCATGCTATGGCCTATGCCAATACATACATTATTGCCACTTCATGTTTTAAGTCTGGAGATACTGTATAGGTGATAAATAGTGCATTTTTCACCGTTAGGTCACCCATCACAAATGTGTAGTCAAGCTTTTTCGCTCTTTTTGCCCAGGCTGGAGTGCAATAGCACAGTCTCGGCTCACCGCAACCTCCACCTCCCGGGTTCAAGCGATTCTCCTGCCTCAGCCTCCCAAGTAGCTGGGATTACAGGTGCCTGGCACTACGCCCAGCTAATTTTTGCATTTTTAGTCAAGACAGGGTTTCTCCATGTTGGTCAGGCTGGTCTCACACTCCCGACCTCAGGTGATCCACCCTCCTCGGCTTCCCATTGTGCTGGGATTACAAGTGTGAGTCACCACACCCGGCCTATTTTTATTTTAAAAGCTAATTATTGGCCGGGCGCGGTGGCTCAAGCCTGTAATCCCAGCACTTTGGGAGGCTGAGGCGGGTGGATCACGAGGTCAAGAGATCGAGACCATCCTGGTCAACATGGTGAAACCCCGTCTCTACTAAAAATACAAAAAAATTAGCTGGGCATGGTGGCGTGTGCCTGTAATCCCAGCTACTCAGGAGGCTGAGGCAGGAGAATTGCCTGAACCCAGAAGGCGGAGGTTGCGGTGAGCCGAGATTGTGCCATTGCACTCCAGCCTGGGTAACAAGAGTGAAACTCCGTCTCAAAAAAAAAAAAAAAGCTAATTATTACTGCTGGCCACAGAGATCTAAAACTTAACACCTATTTTCTTTCTTTCTTATAGTTTTACATAGTAGCACTACAACATAATTGTGAATAAATTGAGTAAAATAGAACACTAAAGGTTCTCACAAGAGGCAAATCATACAACCCAAAGATAAATTTTGACACAAATGGTTCTGTTATTTCAGTTTCACATTTACGATAAATTTCTAATTTATTTCATATTAGTTCAGCAATTCAAAATTAGGGATATCCAAACAGATTGAAAGTAACCATATAGAAATTTTAGTTTTGCTGAAGAACATTTTAATTTGCCCAATAAATGACACTTTTCATCATTTCTGACTATCTGAATCTGACTAATCATCTTCAGACCTCTACTGGTGAGGGAGGGGCATGCTCACGTGTGCATTTTCTGGGGGCGACTGAGGGAGCCTGTCCACAGATGCTCATCTTCAGAGGCCCAGGGCCAGTCCTGATTCCTTGCTAAGTCCACATGCGGGACATCTCTCTTGCTGCCAGGTCTGCACCTAGCTCATCAAAGAACTGAAAAATTAAGGGATAACTCTCAGGCATCCACACCCAGAAAGGAGGCAGTGATCAGAAGACCAAAGACTGATGTATGCCTTTTTCCTGGGTATGCCACCCTGTGATGGAAGGAAGGGCTTAAGGCTTCCAGAATATCATTAGGATCTCTTCACTCTTTTGGAAACAGCTGCCAAAATCTGGCACTGGGAAAAAGACTTCCCACCCTTTCCAGAGGTACTTGACCCCCTTGTCCCTCTGTATTCTCATCACCCTACGGAAACCAAAACTAAATGCATCTTTGCACAAATCAGCCATCCTGTGTCTGCTCTTTTGTGATTTTTATGTAAGTGTTCTTGATTTATGTGAGATAACTTTTTCAAAATATGAATTTAAATGGATTTGAAATGTAATCTTATTTTTCAAGTAACTTAGGATACTATTTTGTCAATATTGGTTAGTTCAAAATTCACATATGGTTAGTTATGCAACCCTCACATTTTAAGTGCACATTTCCCAGACTCTCAGTCAAACAGTGGATGATTCATTGAGCATTCAAATGGGCTAGGACAATTTGATATTTTAAGGAAATGTATCATTGGGTGTTTTGGAGGGTAAATAGAAAAATAATTTACACAGTAACATGGCCAGGAGTGGTGGCTCACGCCTACGATCCCAGCACTTTGGGAGGCCGAGGCGGGTGGATCATGAGGTCAGGAGTTCGAGACCAGCGTGGCCAACATGGTGAAACCCTGTCCCTACTGAAAATACAAAAATTAGCTGGACCATGGTGGCATGCACCTGTAATCCCAGCTACATAGGAGGCTGAGACAGGAGAATCGCTTGAACCCGGGAAGCAGAGGTTGCAGTGAGCCAAGGTCACACCACTGCACTCCAGCCTGGGCAACAGAGTGAGACTCTGCCTCAAAAAAAATAAGTAAACAAATAAAACAAAAATTAAAAAATACAAAGTAATGTGCCACTAAACCAATAAACTTTTTGTCAATTTGACTTTTCTTAACAAATGTGTTACATAAATGGAAGTCTAGATACTCATTTTAAATAATTTTAGATATGAGTAACCCACCTCTTTCTTTAAGGTCTTCAATATAGGCTTTCATGAATTCTTTATCAAAATGTTGGCGATCTCGTTCACTCTCCATTATTTCATCGCCATCTTGACATTGGGCATTATCAATAGGATTGTCCATAAGGCTTACAAATCTATTCAAGAAAGCACGGAAAATATCACATTATCATCTGTACCTTTTCAACTGCAAAATTCCTCATATAAGATAACCTCTGTTATCCCAAGTTCTGGTTTTTAAATAGAGTCTTGCTCTGTCATCCAGGCTGCAGTGCAGTGGTGCGCCATCATAGCTCACTGCAGCCTCAACCGCTCAAGCTCAAGTGACCCTTGCTCCTCAGCCTTTCAGGTGGCAGAAGTCACCATACCAGGGTTTGTTTTTTTTCTTTTTTTTTTGAGACAGGGTCTCGCTTTGTTGCCCAGCTTGGAGTGCAGTGGTGCGATCATTGCTCACTGCAACCTCAAACTCCTAGGCTCAGGCAAACCTCCTGCCTGCCTCAGCCTACCAAGGATCTAGGACTACAGGGACATACCACCATGCCTGGCTAATTTCTTAAATTTGTGTAGAGACAGGATCTCGCTATGTTGCTGACACTAGTCTCAAACTCCTGAACTAAAGCAATCCTCCCACCTCAGCCCCACAAAGGTTTAGGTTACAGGCATGAGCCACTGTGCACAGCCACACCAGCATTCCTGATAAGGCAAGTTCTGTCACATTACTCTTATTTTCTAAAATTATTATTACTGTCCTTAGCCTTTGTCCTTTCACATATACTGTCAAATCCATTTTTCAAGCTCCAAAAAAGAAATTCCACTGGAGTTATGATTGGAATTATATTACACTGAAGTATAATTTTCGGAAGAAATCACATCTTCACAACCTTTCCACCTAGAAAAGATACATTATGCCTTTCTCAAATATTTAAGACTTCTTCATGTAAGAAGAACTATTTTACTAGAGGTTTCCTAGATGTTTTATATCTTCAGTTATTATTATTAATGTCATCATTCTTCCATTATTTTTCGACAAGTTATTTCTAAGAAATCAGTAAGCTATGAAATTTTTATGCAAACTTGTATCAATTCTTTTTATTGAACTTTCAGTAATTCAAAGAGCTTCCATCTGATTCTCTTAGATTTCTGAGTCCTACAATTATATCATTTGAAATTACTTTAGTTTGGTGACAGGTTTACCCTGACTGACTGCTACTGGACTTGAAGCTGCCAAGCCTGCTTCCCGGGGCTGGATGTGGAAGGGGCTCTAGGGAGGAGTCCTTCCTGCTAGCACTCTCACCAGTGCTCCTCTTCTTATTCAAACAGTATTCCACACACAGCCAATCACAGTGGAAGACCTCTTCTAGTGGAAGGAGTGGAGTAGGGCAGGTGCGAGATGTCTTACACCCTGCCAATCTTCTGCTTATACAGATACGAAGTTGGTTTCTTTCTTTCCAGCAGTCAAACCTCTCTTTTTGTTTGCCATGCATTTATTGCAAGGACAGGAAGATCAGATTGAACCCTGTGGATACTAAGCACTTATGCTGAAGAACTAGGGGTCCTGGGGAAATAGTCTCCCTAATGGTTGTGTTAACAATCACCTGGTGTTCAAGTCCGGTGAGTCTCTGGACAGAGAGAAGATGGCTCTTACTAGAGCAGCCTAGTGTAAAGAACGTGGGAAGGGCCCAAACTGCTGGGGATGGACAAAAAAAAAAACAAAGCTCCAGATTCTGGAAGGAAGTGCTGCCAGGGAGCCACCAGGTGCCTTGGAGTCATTTCAGGGGAGGGCGGAGCTAGAGCTTTTCAATTCCACTTCCATCTCACCCCAGATTGGAGGCTGTTTGGAGTACATTTGCATGGATGTTTTTCCTTAGTTGTGGGTGGTTTATTGGTTCACTTAAGGAAACCTAAAGAAGGGTGAAGCAGCCAGGGAGGGTCCTTTCAACATCTGCTGACCCCTCCAGGCCAGTAGCAATTTGAGCACTGAGTGAGAGACCATGGACCCTGGACATATGTCCCTCAACACCATCAACAAGCAAGCAGCATTTGTAGAAATCCTCTGAGCCCGATGCCTCCTCCTCATGCTATATGCCACGAACTCCAAAATCCTGTAAAAAGTCACCAGATCTTCTATGAGTTGGGATCAGGTTCTCAGAGTATGAGAGGCTCCGGTGGGCCTCATCCTTACCTGTGTCTGAGTGCGTCTACTGGGATTTCTGGGCTACTCACTTTAAAGGTGTGGAAGAGTCACAAAGGGCAGTTGGGAGCTCCACCAAATGGTCCCCACTGACGACCAACAGGGTGAGCTTCTTCAGGTTCAGCATGGAGTAGGGAAGGTAGGTCAACTTGTTTTTATATAAGAGAAAGCTCTGCAGCTCTTCTAGCCTGAGAAGAGGCAAAAAGGATCAGAACACATGGACTTAGCATCATAGCTAAGAAAACCAGCATGAATCACAAATAAATTCTAACAGGAAGTCCCTACTTTATTTTATACATGTGACCTTTATGAGAACTGACTCTAAGTTTTGACAGGGTCTCACTATGTTGTCCAGGTTGGAGTTCAGTAGCAAAATCTCAGCTCACTGCAGCCTCAATCTCCTGGTCTCAAACGATCCTCCCACCTCAACCTCGTGAGTAGCTAGGACTACAGGCTCACGCCACCATGCCTGGCTAATTTTTTGTATTTTTTGTAGAGACAGGGTCTTGCCATAGTGCCCAGGCTGGTCTTGAACTCCTGGGCTCAAGCAATCTGCCTGCCTCAGCCTCCCGAAGTGTTGAGATTACAGGTGTTAGCCACTGTGCTTGGCCTGAGTTTTAAATAACTAACGTCATGCCAGGCAACATGATTTTTTTGTGAGTTTTTACTGACTTAATCACCAGTTGACGACACAGGTGCACAATACACGCTAGGCCGTGATGGAGCCTCAAACATCAGTATATCCCTTCTAAGAGTCTACTGCACTTACAAGGGTTAGCAGGGCATGGGAAGACAGTCATACTAGAACTGAAGTAAGAATAAACAGATTTTAGCAATGTCCTTCCTTTCTTTTTTTAATGATAGAGACGGGGTCTCACTATGTTACCTAGGCTTGTCTTGAACTCCTGGCTTCAAGCAATCCTCCTGCCTTGGCCTTCCAAAGTGGGACTACAGGCAAGAGCCACTGTGCCCAGCCTCCTCCTGTTTGTCTTTAAAGCACAATTACCCTTCTCTCATCACATTTTCTAACTTTAAAACAGGAAGACAACTGCACAGTGAAAAGTAAATGAGCAAAATATGTTCCAGGTATGTCTTATTCTGTTTTCCATTTTATTCTAACTCAGTGGCCTCCCCCAGGGAATTTTTCTTTCATTTATTTGCAAAACTTTGGCTAATCTCACAAACATTTCATTTCATAAAGTTCCCATGTTTCAAACTAAAAGATTCCCTCGTAGTCTCAAAACCCTAGAAAGCATCAATACACATCGCATGTACCAGGAGTAGAGAAAAGTCATACAAGATGGCATTCAGGCCTAAGCCGTTGCTGTCATCTGTGTCATAATAGCTTGCTTGTGTTTCTTTATTAAAAAAAAAAAGATTGTAGGCCAGGCACGATGACTCGTGCCTATAATCCCAACACTTTGGAAGGCCGAGGCAGGAGGATCACTTGAGCCCAGGAATTCAAGACCAGCCTGGGTAATATAGCAAGACCTTGTCTCTACAAGTAATTTTTTTAAAAATTAGCCAGGTGTGAATGGCACACATCTATGGTCCCAGCTACTTGGGAAGCTAAGCTGGGGAAAGTGCTTGAGCCCAGGAGCCCAGGCGGTCAAGGCAGCAGTGAGCCGTGACAGTGCCACTGCACTCCAGTCTGGGCCAGCGAGACTCTGTCTTACCGGATGCCAGAGTTTGTGTTTTATTTACCACTTTAAACGCGTCCCACTCTCTGGGCTTGCCATACAGGAGCCTAACAACTTATAAATGAATGACTGAATCTTCCATGATTCAGCGTAATGCTTATTTTTAAAAACATGAAATAGCTACAAGAATAAAATTTGAGCCAGGCACAGTGGCTCATGCCTGTAATCCCAGAACTTTGGGAGGCCAAGGCAGGAGGACCGCTTGCACCCAGGAGTTTGAGATCAGCTTGGGAAACAAAGCAAGACCCTGTCTCAACAAAAAATAAAAATGTTTAAATATGCATGTTTTTAATTGTAAAGAATATAACTTGAAAACCTGGCTAAGCATATCAATTTGTTTGAAAGTTTATGTATAATGAATCAATAAATGAAACTAATAAAAATTGTCCTCACTGATATTCTAAACATAACATAAAGTGATATGTTTCCATTCTACACTTAATAAATTGACTTTTCTACTTCTGTAAAGTGAAGGAAAGTTAATGGTGCCATTCTATGAAAGACCAAAGCAAATTAAAGGTCATCGAAGCAATGAAGACGTCGTGCTCAGATGCACATAAACAATACGTGTATGATGCAAACTGGAAACTGTCTTACTCTATGCTTTCCTTGGAAACTGATTTCCTGGAAACAATGAATTCTGGAAAATTAGTTAATTCCAAAGAACATTCATGTACTACACATGTTTTAAATGTTAACAGTGTTTGAAGCGTTAGTAACTAACACATACACCTCACCTTAGAATGCAAGTAGCTACCTGTCTATATCTTGCGGCAGGTCAGTCAGGTTATTGTTGCTGATATCCAACCACTGCAAATTAGACATCCGCAGGACACAGATCGGGACGCTGGAAAACTTGTTTGCTGAGATATCTACAAATGTAACTTGCTTCAAATTACTTAACTAGAAAAGAAGAACAAAATGTTCTAATTACTTTTATAAGAGTGGGAATTAAGTTCAACTAATAATTGTTAGATAAATGTTTCTTCCCAAAGGCATTTCTATGAATACATGCAAAACAGATCAATACCGTACGTATTTTGGAGCACCCTATATGTGTCATTCATTCACTGTGTATATCTAGGGAAGCTAAGAGAAGTGGTACACTGCGGCTGCCCTCCAGGAGTTTATATTGCTATGAATTATCAGTGCAGGCTAGGCGTGGTGGCTCATGCCTGTAATTCTAGCACTTTGGGAGGAGGAGGTAGACAGATTGCTTGAGCCCAGAAGTTCAAGACCAGCCTGGACACCATGGAAAAACCTCATCTCTACAAAAAATACAGAAGTTAGCTGGGTGTGGTGGTATACACCTGTAGTTCCAGCTATTTAGGAGGCTGAATTGGGAGTATGGCTTGAACCTGAGAGTCTGAGGGTGCAGGGAGCCATGACTGAGTTCCAGCCTGGGTGACAAAGCGAGACCCTGTCTCAAAATAAATAAATAAAATAATCAGTGCAATTTTATGTAGCAAGAACTAACGTGAAGAAGTTTTCAACTTGCAATGTTTGGTAACAAAGAAATATATGGCTAATCTGCCCAACATCACAGTGGGGTAAGGGCCTGGAGTAAGAAAAGATTTCACAAGGAATGGAGCATTCACATTGGGTCCTGAGGTTCCCTGACAGGTAGAAAGAAGGAAACGGAGGTGAGGGAGCTGCATGTACAACATCACAGAAGACAGAAAGTGCCCGTAGTAGAATGACTTACTGGAGACGGCATTGACAAGTTTTGGCAAATGACCAGAAAGCGCTAGTGCTTGTGTTTTATATCCATAAAACTTTTATTTTTAACATGTAACTGAAATACATATAGAAACATATTTTTATTTCAAATGAAAATCTATAAAGGTATTGAACAAAGCAGGAAAAGTATCTTGTGGTTAGATTTGGTTTTGTAAGTTTAGTGATACTATGAAACATAGAAGAGTTATCTTTTTTTTTTTTTTGAGATGAAGGCTTGCTCTATGGCCCAGTCTGGAGTGTGGTGGTGCGATCGCAGCTCACTGAAGCCTCCACCTCCCTGGTTCAAGCGATTCTTCTGCCTCAGCTTCCCAGGTAGCTGGGATCACAGGTGCCTGCTGCCAGCTAGTTTTTGTATTTTTAGTAGAGACAAGGTTTCGCCAAGTTGGTCAGGCTGGTCTCAAACTCCTGACCCCAAGTGACCCACCCACCTCGGCTTCCCAAAGTGTTGGGATTACAGGTATGAGCCACCGTGCCCAGCCTGGAACTACCTTTGATTGACTTATTTTGAGAGCCCATGAATAAAATCTGAGCTGACCCTTAGAATACACTTTCAAAATTGTTATGAACTATGGAGCCAGGTGGACCAGTAGGAGGTATTATTGAAATGTAAAGGGAAAAAAAGTATAGACACAATTTAGCTTAATATAAAACCCACTTCCATATTGCCAGATTTGCTTTCGTGAGACACAGGCCAGATTCATTCTATTGTATAGGACGTTCTAATTTTGCTTGTTTTGAATTTAGAAAATGAATGTGAAGGCGGTAATGTGATGGTGAACAATCAGTCAAGAGAGAGTCTGGGAGCCCATACTTGAGTCTGAAGTTTCTGACCGTGTTGCCAGGGTGATCAGATCAGCAGAAAAATACAGACTGAATTGCCGTTACTCTCTCTTCTTTTTTCTTTTTACAGTAAATGTAGAAAACGTATTTTTAGAATGTAAAATAACTGACTGAAGATATTTAAGGAAACAACTTAAGACTTTCATGAAAATTAGAATAAGAAAAATCACAATGGCATTGGATCTACAAGTCCTTCTATGAATATATAAAAAAATTTTACTCCTTTTATTTTCAATCTTACCGTTGTGGATAAATAAATCAGGATCTGTGCTATAGACAACAGGTATCATATATTACAAGCATCAACAATTATTAAATAAAAATGTATTGTGTGACGTTTTCCCTGGTTTTCCTTTGATAGCATTTCTGAACTTAAATTCAGGTTCTGGCCTTGTATAAAATGTTTTTAAAGAAGGGCAGGCGCAGTGGCTCATGTCTATAACCCCAGCACTCTGGGAGACCAAGGCAGCTGGATCACCTGAGGTCAGGAGTTCAAAACCAGCCCAACCAACATAGTGAAACCCCGTCTCTACTAAAAATACCAAAATTAGCCAGGCTTGGTGGTGATGCGCACCTGTAGTCCCAGCTACTCGGGAGGCTGAGGCAGGAGAATTACTTGAACCCAGGAGGCAAAGGCTGCAGTGAGCCAAGATCACACCACTGCACTCCAGCCTGGGTGACAGAGCAAGACTCCATCTCAAAAAAAAAAAAAGTTTTAAAGACCAGTATAGTGTGATTGAAATGTCAGGAAAAGGTGGTATAATAAAGATGGGTTTCATGTTAAAACTTCTTGCCAAGTTATAGACCATCCCATGTAATAAACCAAATAAAAGTAAATCATAGCACAGAAATGTTTATTTCTTACTTCAAAGGGCAGCTCTGTTAACTCTAGATTTCCAGAACAATCCAGTCTGTCTAGATTTTCACAGTCTCCCAATTCTGGAGGAATGCTCTTCAGATGGTTAAAACTGACATTGAGTTCTTTCAGGTTCTTCAAACAACCTGTCATCAGAAAATGTTGCCATCAAATATCATAAGTCGAGAATGCACTTAACACACCTAACCTATTAAACATCATAGCTTCACCTAGCCTACCTTAAAGGGGCTTGGAACACTTACATTCACCTACAGTTGGGCCAAATTATCTACCATAAAGCCCGTTGTATAACAAAGTGTTAAATATCTCCTGTAATGCATTGAATACTGCACTGAAAATGAAAAGCAGAATGTTTGTATGGTACTCAAAGTGCAGCTCACCCCTTCCTCCCTTCGTTCCTTCCTTCCTTCCTCCCTCCCTCCCTCCCTTCCCTACTTCCTTCTTTCCTCCCTCCCTCCCTCCCTTCCCTACTTCCTTCCTTCCTCCCTCCCTCCCTCCCTCCCTCCCTTCCCTACTTCCTTCCTTCCTTCCTCTCTCCCTCCCTCCCTCCCTTCCCTACTTCCTTCCTTCCTCTCTCCCTCCCTCCCTCCCTCCCTTCCCTACTTCCTTCCTTCCTCCCTCCCTCCCTCCCTTTCTTTTTTTCTGTTTCTTTCCCTTCATTTATTCCTTCCCTCCTTTCTTTTCTTAAATTTTTTAAATTTTACTTTAAGTTCTAGAATACATGTGCAGAACCTGCAGGTTTGTTACATGGGTATTCATGTGCCACGGTGGTTTGCTGCACCCATCATCCAGGTTTTAAGATCCGCATGCATCAGGTATTTGTCCTAATGCTCTTCCTCCCCTTGTCCCCTACCCCCTGACAGGCCCGGTATGTGATGTTCCCCTCCCTGTGTCCATGTGTTCTCATTGTTCAACTCCCACTTATGAGTGAGAACACGCGGTATTTGGTTTTCTGTTCCAGGCTTGGTTTTACATTTTACACCTTTCTAGACTGTTTGAATATTTTTCCCTGCACATTAATGAGGTCTGTGGGGATGATGACCTCATGTCTCCAACAGGACTCAAGTGCCTTGGAATAATCACTTGACTAATCACTTGGAATAACAACTTTGTAACCAACATGTTGACGTTTATTGCCTTATCTAATCCTCACAACAGCTAAATGACAACCATTATCCATACTTTACAGATGAAGAAACCGAAAGCAGAGAGATTAAGTATAGTCCCTCAATCCCACATTGGTCTCCTGTGGATACCCCTCACCCACCAAGCTCTACTCCTCCCCCAAGTATGCAAGGAGAGCATCCTCACTCCCCCACCAGTGGTCTTAACCATGGCTGCACGTGGGAATCGTGTAGGGAATTTTGTAATGCTGGTCTGCTGTGGGCCTTGGGCATTTAGATTTTTAAGGCTCTTTGGGAGATTCTAAGGTGTAGCCAGGGTGAAAACCACTGCTCAAATCAAACTGGCTCACAAGGAAAGAATGGATATTACATTGGCGTAGTGTGGGAAGTTACAAAGAACAAATGTTAATCTGGCTGGCAATAACTTCAAGGAAGGCATTTCAAGAGATGAACAAAGATATATACTAAGTGGAGCACCTCTGATGAAATTCCAGGCAACTGTGAGCATGACTCATCCCATGGTGATGCCCTGACACCTCCACTTTTGATGGCTCCATGCTTAATACCACAACTGTCTTGCTGCCAACCACTGGATTCCGAAGCCCAGGTGACAGGGTAGCAAGGATCCCTGAGTCTAGGTCAACCTCTGTGGCTTCTCAGATATATAAGGACAGAACCTTCCTACTTGAAAAGGTTTGTTTGTTTTGAGACAGGGTCTCGCTCTGTCACCCAGGCTGGATTGCAGTGGTGCCATCACTGTTCACTGTAGCCTCAACCTCCTGGGCTCAAGAGATCCTCCCACAGGCACATGCCATCATGCCTGGCTAATTTTTTACTTTTTGTAGAGATGGGTTTTCTCCACGTTGCCCAGACTGGTCTCAGACTCCTAGACTCAAGTAATCTGCCGGCCTTAGCCTCCCAAAGTGGTGGGATTCCAGGCATGCACCACTGTGCCCAGCCTAAAAAGTCTTTTTAAAAGTAACTCCGTCCTCAGAAACGCTATCCAGTTATTTAAATATAGTATGAGCTTGCCCCAAAACGACCTGCAAATAGTGAAATCTGGCTTCTGGCCCGGGCTCTAAAGAAGTTCCTTAGTGTAATATCTAAATGACAATGATTCAATCAGCTAACATCAGTGGGACCTGGTCTCTCAAATTTGCAAAATAAAGGGGCAGGAGGTAAATGACCCCTAACAAGTTAAAAATGGTGAGGGAAGGTGTTCTCTTTCCAGGTCCACAGGGGGCGTAGTTTTAAGGGCAAGAACTTCCTATGGCTATTGATGCCACCCTCCCAACAATCTCCATCCGGGAGATTTAACGGTTTTTGTTTCAATTTCATGGGCACAGGAAGAAACTAAGAGTCAATCACCCCAGCAGAAGTTCTAAGGAACTCCTTTCATTGGCCCGGGGTCTTAGAGAAGGTGGGGGTTCCTTCCAGGTTAAAAGTCCCCTTCTTCCCCACCCCTTCGGACTCCATGTTTGGGTTTCCTTTCACGAACACTCTTTTGTGGAAGCTAACTCCATCTCTCTATCTCTTCCCTTCCACTCACTGTGGAAGCTGCCTTCCTCTCCTGGATTCCATCTTTCTGGATTCTCTCACTCAGTGTGAGAGGAGCTTTCCTTCTCTGGTTTTCCCCCTCTGGGAACCCTTCACACTCAGTGTGAGAGCGGCTTTTCTCTCACTCAGTGTGAGGTAGCTGTTTCTCTCTCCTTCTCCTTTTTCTCTCTCTAAATAAATCACTTTCTACAGTTTTGAGTCCAGCATTGACTGTGCACTGTGCCATGGTCCCTTCTCATTCTTGAGAGGGCAGGAGACCAAGAACCTGGAGAAACATCCTCTCAGGGGAGCTGAGGACACCCTGAACCCCAATATTACAATGGTACTTTTCAGTCATAAAAATTCTAAGGTCCTTTCTACCTTTCCAGAAACTGGTCAAGGAAACAGAAGTTCTTGTCCTTGTTGGGTCTAGAATTTGATTTTACCCTGATTAGAAGCTAGTTCCCATTTCATGGATACTGGCAGAAGACGCAAGGCTCCTGGTCCAAGACAGGGTGTTGATGTCAGTTCTCCTTACAGCCAAGCCTACTAAGCGTGACGCAGATGCCCCGGATAGATGCTATGCACATATACATCACAGCGGAGAACACCGAGCTTGGGGAACCCACTGCTTTTACAGCAAGTGGTTAGCAAGGTTGCTCTTTGCCTGGGGGCAAGTGTCGCCTCATTCCTCGAGGTTAGTATGCACATAACAACTGCAAGATTGGCTTGGGTAAGAAGGTGGTCAGAGCCTTGTAGTCTTGACACAGACAGCAAGACGTATACAAACACCAGAGTCCCCACAAGCCACCTCTGTCCCACAGGGTCTTGGCTTCTGGTAAATTTTCACATAACTACGCGAAACCACTGGTCCCAGGGCACGTGTGTAAGAACGGAGCTCCGTGCAGCCCCAGACCTTCACTCCTCACACCCCAGGAGAAAGAGAAGCAATAATGATCACTGTCATTTTCATTTTAAATAATACAACTGACTGATGACAGAGAATGATAAAAATTTTGATCTGTTAAAAAGAAGCAGGCTGGGCATGGTGGTTCATACCTGTAATCCCAGCACTTTGGGAGGCCGAGGCTGGTAGATCACCTGAAGTCAGGAGTTTGACACCAGCCTGATCAACAAGGTGAATCCCCATCTCTACTAAAAAAAATAAAAAAAATGCAAAATCAGCCAGGCGTGGTGGCACAGGACTATAATCCCAGCTACTTGGGAGGCTGAGGCAAGAGGATCACTTGAACCCAGAAGGCAGAGGTTGCAGTGATCCGAGACTGTGCCATTGCACTCCAGCCTGGGCAACAAGTGCAAAACTCTGTCTCAAAAAAAAAAGACATCATAAGCTAAACTAGATTTATCAATGGACTAATGTAGGAACCATCCATTCCATTTATAATAAGCATATTGCATGTTTATAGGTTTAAAACTAAACGAAAATAAACACAGAGTTCCTAAATAAAGTATTGGTCACTCATGAGACTTCTGGTTTCTGAGCAACTGGCAAGTGTCCCATGTGCTGAGTTATACAGGTGAGATGCTGACCTCACGGCCCAAAGGGATGCTGCAAACAAGCAGCTCTGTGGAGCCTTGAAACAGCCCTGCCCAGCCACTTCCTGGGGCAGCTGGAGAGGAAACGCGGTGTCTGCACACTGTCTGTCACCTGCCTGATGCCACCTGCTTCACACACAAGAGGCCCGAAGGCCCCTGCTAAGCTGACATACCAATTTCTGCTGGAAGATGTGAGATTTGGTTTCTTGGCAGATCCAGAATTCTCATGGCTCGAAACAGCTCAATATATGTAGGAATGATTTGAATCAGGGTATTGCTTATGTGCCATTCTCTCAGGTGTGTCTGCTCCTTCAATGAATCTGGGAGCTCCTAAAATAGAAAGAATGACATCAATCAGAACCAGCCCCTCCATGTGCACAAAGCCGTGTAAAGCCAAGCATTTATTTTAAAACAGTAGGTAAGAAAGCAGACACAAGAGCGTGAAGCATAACCACCAGCACTCCATCCATTTCCAAAAGAAACCAAAGACACGAGTTGTCATAAATTTCACAGCAGTACATTAGCCCTATTTCAAAACTGCTGTGAATTCACGCTGTTATTAAAATCAAATCCTAGTGAACACAAACAACCAGACTCACACTCAGAGCCACCATATGTGTCATTTATTTGCAACATACAAATTTAACATCCCCTAAAGTATATCTATACACTAGATTTCAAAATTTGTGCTTCGTTTCCTTTTCTCTGTAGTTGCTTTTATAAATACTTAATAAACCTTGAATATTTGCTGTGCCAAATTTCCACATATTCTTAAGAGTCTATGATAGGGAAAGAGCATGAGAAAGACAATCAGCTGGGAGACCTGGCCCCGCCATTTTCCAGTCACGCCACCTCCCTGGGCCTCCACTGCTGAAATGACATTGATGAACTCAGTGTCCGAGGCCTCCCTGAGTTCAAGTGCCCTGGGCTAAAACTGTAAGGGGGTCGAGGAAGAAGCGTTTAAAGACTTTAGGGAGGCGATTTCTCCTGCTGAAGAAATCTAATTCACCAAGAGTTACCGAGCCCCCACTGCAGGCGAGGGGAGCTCAGCACTGAGATGGGGTGAGACAAAGACGAGACACACAGGTCCCCTGACCTCAGAAGCTGACCAAGGCACACCATCAGTAAAGTGGCTGGAGCAGAGGCTAGAGATGGGATGATGTGTGGAAAACTCCATGGGAGTTAAAGGGCATGGGGAGGGAGCAATGGAGTCCACAGTGATCCTTCTTTTTTGTACTTGGTACTTGTAATGTGCTTTACAATCATTGCTGTCCTGTGTGTGGGTTAAGCTGTTAACTTGCAAAAGTGCTTTCACTCTAGTACTATTTCATGCAATGGTACCATAAGACAGGCAAAGTGGGCCCCTTTGGAAGAAGAAAACTGAAACCCCAAAGACATTTAAGGGAATCACTTACAGTAAGGACCCGATACCAAGTTTGCAAAGCCTAGTGCATAATGAAAATACACGCACTGGCCAGGTGTGGTGGCTCACACCTGTAATCCCAGCACTTTGGAAGGCTGAGGCGGGTGGATCTCAAGATCAAGAGTTCAAGACCAGCCTGGCCAAAATGGTAAAACCCCATCTCTACTAAAAATACAAAACTGAGCTGGGTGTGGTGGCAGGTGCCTGTAATCCCAGCTACTCAGGAGGCTGAGGCAGAGAACTGCTTGAGCCCGGGAGGTGGAGGCTGCAGTGAGCTGAGATTGCACCACTGTCCTCCAGCCTGGGTGACAGAGTGAGACTCCATCTCAAACAACAACAACAACAAATGTGGGCACCTTGTTAAAAGTTAAGAAGTTCAAGAAGGTGAGCACAGAGCATTAAACCAAGCATAGGGCCCTGTGCCACTGCTTCTGCAGCCAACTGCTAGTTACCACCTGCCCCCGTCTGGCCCTGGCAAACTGTCCCAACACCTCTTGATCTGAATGGAACCCACACCACACCAGAAGGTTGCCTCCTGGAACTGAGACAAAATGAGCTGGGTCAACAGGGAGCTGACCACGGGCTCATAATCACCATCTCTTCATTTAAACTTCAATGTACTGACGCCCTCATAAGTAACTTATCTCATTCCACTCTTTCAATAATGGCACACAGAAAAGATTATTACACTGTCTAAAATTATGTTCACGACTATTTTTAACAAGAAAAATATTAGGAGATTGCCAGGTGCGACAGCTCACGCCTGTGATCCCAGCACTTTTGGAGGCTGAGGTGGGCAGATCACCTGAGGTCGGGAGTTTGAGACTAGCCTGACCAACATGGAGAAACCCTGTCTCTACTAAACATACAAAATTAGCCAGGCATGGTGATGCATGCCTGTAATCCCAGCTACTCAGGAGGCTGAGGCAGGAGAATTGCTTGAACCTGAGAAGCAGAGGTTGCAGTAAGCCAAGATTGTACCATTGTACTCCAGCCTGGGCAACAAGAGCAAAACTCCATCTCAAAAATAAAACAAAATTAAATTAAATTTTAAAAAAGGAAAATATTAGGATATCATGTTAAATAGAAATGAAAAGAACTGAGTAAAAATGACAGATTGAATGTATGCATATACTTTTGCTCTTCTCCGAAATTTCGTTAAAGACAACAGCACAAGAACTTTTTAGGTGGCATAAACCCTGCAGAAGGGCAAAGAGAAAGGGAAAGGAGACATCAGCCGCAAAGTGTGGCTAACCAGACAGCTGGAAGATGGTGACCTGGCTTCCCAGAGCTGATCAATCTTAGACCAGCAGCAGAAACGATTGAGATACAACCAGAAGCCACCAGAGACTCCGCAGTAGAAGAGCCTGGTACCCCTGGAAGTGAAAGCTGAAGTCAGGTCCCAAAGAAAGAGATCAGGTTCCAAGTCCAAAGACCAGAACCTCGACCCTCATCCATACCACATGGCAATTACCTCTGCTCTCCACCTGTAAGAAATTGCAGCTTATTCATTGCAGGGGGTTCAACCATGTCCCTGAACTAGAGTACCTCGGGCACAGCTGAGGCAGGGAGGTGGCAATCAGATGATGAGTGACGAATGCTAAGATTCTCCAGTTCCAGGAACTGAGAATTTCCTTTTCTGTAGGCTCTCATAGCTCCAGACAAATCAATAATGTGCAGTCACGAACATTCATGACTAATCATGAATAGGAAAGGGGCGGCACCAGTGAGATGCAGATTTTACAGCAACGTCCTCAAAAGCTAAGCGTGCTCAACACACACTCAGAGCTTCTGGTCAGCTTGTGTCTCCAGACCACCAAGAAAAGTCCCAACGTGCAAGATAAAGACACACACCCTAAAACAAAAAGGATACTCTGAAAGAAGAAAACACAGCCCCCAACATGAAAAATAAAACAATAAAAAATAAAAACTAATCAGCACTTGGGGACACTAAGGCAAGAAGATCGCTTGAGCCCAGGAGTTCAAGACCAGCCTGGATAACAAAGTGAGACTCCATATTTTAAAAAATGGGTTAAACTAGCCAAGTGTGGTGGCATGCACCTGTTGGTCCCAGCTACAGAGAAGGCTGAGGGGGAAGGATCACTGAGTCCATGAGATGGAGGCTACAGTGAGCCATGTTCATGCCACTGCACTCCAGCTGGAGTGACTGAGCAAGACTCTGTCTCAAAAACAAAAAAAAAAAAAAAAAAAAAAAAAAAGATTGATCCCAAGGTATCTAAGAAAAGCCATTATCCTGCAAAGTAGAAACAGAACAAAATTGTAAAAGCCAAAATTAAGAGACACCTGTAAAAGTGGAAAAATAAGGCCACATTACCAAATTCATCCATTTGAAAAAACAAAGAGCAAACAGTTCTGGGAAATTAAAAACGTGGTAGTAAAAATGAAAAATCCTATTGGCAGCTTGGAAAACAAAATTGAGGCTCTCCCCTAAAAGAGCAGGGTCCAGGGTCTGAGAGCTTCTGGCTCAAAACAGGAATGACCACTCCCCAGTCCCCAGCCCAACCTGGCCACACAACCACAGAGTGTGGCGCCTCACACAGAGTGTGGCCCCTAAGGGCCCCAGCAGATCTCTCTCTACCTGGTCCCCAAGGCCCCAGAAGCTCCACAGCCTACTTCTTCCCTCCTGACCTCTTGCAGGGACCGGGCACGCTGGCTGGTGTGACTGCAAAGGCCACAACTCCCTCAGTGCCACAATGTCTCTGGGGGAGGAAAAGGGTTAACTGAAATTCACACTAATGAATATGTGGGGCCCAGAGTCTTCCTGGATGCTCCCGGACTCAGTCACAACAGAGTATAGCTTAGGGGATGGAGTATGGGGAGAAGAGATTGCAGGTCGTGAGGACGCCATCCATCTGGTTCACAACGGGGGTCTCCCCAGGGCCTGCTGAATCCTAACCATCTTCCCATTCCCCTTGCCATACCGAGCATGTTAAATAGTCTTTACAGTGATTTTCAGAAGATAGACTGTGAAACGTGAGGGCTTGTGGCAGCTTCTCCAGGTGAACTGAGACACCCTTACAGGGTAAGTGCCTCACCCAGGATGGTGTTTACTGGAGGATGAGAATGACTCACCAATGATATCTAATTAACAGTCCAGACATGTCTCCCTTCGTGCCCCAGAAGAGGCAGGCTGTGTACCCACTGACCTCAACAATGGGGGTGCAAGAGAAAGAACAGCGAAGAGGTTTACAGTAACTGCACACTTCACAGAATAGTCAGTCACGCACTTCATCCTCTTAACAGCCCTCAGATCGGGTCAGGGCAAGCATTAGCAGCATTTTACTGATAAGAATGATAAAAACCCATCAAAGTGATATACATTTTTATCAAATGATAAAAACCGCCTCAGATCACATAGCTAATAAAAGACAGCCCCAGGTCATGCCAAATATTTAGTCTCTTCACTGAGTCCTTTCAGTCACAAAATGGCAGGGTAATAAGCTCAAGCTCAGGAGTTTGAGACCAGCCTGGGCAACCTGGCAAAACCCCACATCTAGAAAAAAATTCAAAGCCCCAGAGAGGTGGCTCTTGCCTGTAATCCCAGCACTCTGGGAGGCCGAGGCAGGCGGATCACCCAAGGTCAGGAGTTCGAGACCAGCCTGGCCAACATGGTGAAACCCTGTCTCTATTAAAAATACAAAAAATTAGCCAGGTGTGGTGGCATGCACCTGTAATCCTAGCTACTCAGGAGGCTGAGGCAGGAGAATCACTTGAACCTGGGACAGGGAGGCTGCAGTGAGCCCAGATTTTGCTACTGCACTCCAGCCTGGGAAACAGAGTGAGACCCCGTCTCAAAAATAAAAATTACAAAATAAATAAATACAAAAATTAGCCAGGCATGGTAGCGTGTGTCTGTAGTCCCAGCTATTGGGAAACTGAGATCTTGCCACTGCACTTCAGCCTGGGAAACAGAGTGAGACCCCGTCTCAAAAATAAAAATTACAAAATAAATAAATACAAAAATTAGCCGGGCATGGTAGCGTGTGTCTGTAGTCCCAGCTATTGGGAAACTGAGATCTTGCCACTGCACTTCAGCCTGGGAAACAGAGTGAGACCCCGTCTCAAAAAAAAAATTACAAAATAAATAAATACAAAAATTAGCCGGGCATGGTAGCGTGTGCCTGTAGTCCCAGCTACTTGGGAAACTGATCTTGCCACTGCACTTCAGCCTGGGAAACAGAGCTATACTCCACCTCAGAGAAAAAAAAAAAGACACAAAATGGCAGGGTAGAAAGAGATGGTGGGAAGGTCCCAGGGAACCCTGTCCCAATGAAATGGGCAACAGCCCAAGATCCTGAGCCAGGGAAGCTTCCCCAGACACAGACATATCCTACAAGCCCAGGTACTGCTTCAAGCAGAAAATATCAGCTCACAGACAACCCCTAGAGTCACCCTGCCGAGCAAAGCAGCAGGTGCAGGAGCAGAAGCTGGGACCTGAGGAAAGAAAGGGGACTGTCTTTTTCCTGGCCTCAGAATCTCTGGACGGGGAAACCATATAAAGGATCTACAGAAATTTCTTTGCCACCCTACAGCACTTCGGCAAGTAAGTCGCTGCCCACTTTGAGAGTGTTAGATGAATGAAAGGTGCTATCACTTAAATTAATGTTTTTAAAGGCAAATAATTATGTTAGGTGTCTAGGGCAGGGGACTGCAGGACTGCCCTGCATTTCACTGAGGAAGGGACACGAGAACTGGGTCAGAGCAAGTCGTTGGCTGTTTCTTACCCACTGGGAGGTTCTCTAAAGGCAAAAGCATTCATTCATTCATCCTTGGGCTAAAGTGAGCAGCAGTCACCAGCCACAGCACTGCATTGGACGAGAATTGCCTCAACTCACCGTCCAGTGCTCCCCAGAAAGTTCAAACACGAACGCACTGCTCCGTTTGCCTCTGTCCTTGGGAAGCGAACTCTGCCTTGTGAGAGTGTTCCTTTCGATCTTGTCCAGCAGCCGCACGTTGGTGTCTATGAAGCCATTCTTGCAGTACACAGCCTGGGGGATGCCCTTCCTCCTGCATTCGGCCACAAAGTTCCACTCCTCCTTTATCCTAAAACCAGCAGCAGAGGTCACAGTTACTTTCCTGGGGAGTGGCCGTCACCTGCCTAGAGAAGTGAGTCAGCCACCTGGGCGTGGGCACTCTCCTTGTCATTCCCAGGCCTTCGTAAGCACTCCCTTCCTCTCTCCTCCCTGCTATGGGGGTGTAGGGAAAACCCTAAACCATTTTGTGAAGTATTAGTAACTTTAACTTAAAACGAGGAGGATGGGTTAGATGGAATTTCTGGCTATGCGTGTAATTATAATTTCCTTTGAAATTATATATTATGCTAACCTAAGTTTTTTAAAAATGCAGGGCCACAGGGGTTTGCTGATCTCTTAGGGGCATTTGAATAGAAATACAGAGGAGCCCCAGTGTATAAAACACCTGACTTTGGAATGTCAACCGTCAGCCGCCTTGGGGAATTTCGCTCCTGTAGATGGGCCTAAGGTCCACTCAGACACGGGAGCTGGCTGAGGACTCAGCATCCCCACCAAACCTCACCACCCATTTGTCGCTAATTTTCCGACCTCTCCTTTTAGAGCTTTCCCATACACAGCTTATCCCCCAGCTTGATGCTAAGCTCCAGGATGGCAGCCGGCATGTCTCACAGACCTTCAGACACCCACAGAGCTGTCAGAACAGGGTACTGCATCTGGCGGCCTTTCTTCATTTAGGAATTCGTTTTCTGTTTGAGGCCTTTAACATATTCCACGTGATGCAAAAACAAGACGTTTTGTGGTTTTCCTTCAAAACTATCCAACACAGATGTTGCCTGACTCAAAATAAGGTAGCCTACCTTTGATGGGGCTTTCCCATCAAAGTGATGAGCATTCCACACTCAGAAAAGCATTCCAGACCCTACCCAGCCCAACTGGGAACCAGGTGGCAGTCAGGATCCAGGTCTTCTCGGGGCTACTTTAGAAACAAGTTGCAGGTGCAGACCTGGTCTCCACACAGCCCCAGGCAGTATATACACTAAATAAGTGTAAGGTAAGCCCCGTGATCAAAGAACAATCCTAGTGTGGACACTCTCCACTGTTATCTGAAGGAAGGGTGATTTGGAGTCTCAGTCCGGCTGTAGGGTGGCACTGTGGGGCACAGGCAAGCCTGCCAATGGAGTGGTTAGGAGGGGTCTGAAGGTTTACTGCACTAGGACAAGACCATCTTCCAGGACTGGGTATGCAGGAAGTCCTGGTATGGATCACCAGGCACTGTCAAGTGCAAGGAGAAATGTAAGACTTTGAAAGAAGCAAAACACAGCTGGATAGCCTTTTCCTGAAATGCTGGAATGGCTAGGGGATTCTCCAATTCTGTAGGAATTCTCCAATTCTATAGGAATTCACCTTTGACTTTGACTAAGCTATTTTATGACTGTAGAAATTAAAGTTAACTTGTAGAAAACTGATAGCCATACAAATAATTTTTATTCATGAACACCCATAAATTCTGCCCAGTGGAGAGACAACCCTCTCCCATCCCAGAAACACCAATTTGCTCCATTTTCTTTTTCTTTTCTTTCTTTCTTTCTTTCTTTTTTTTTTTTTTTTAGACAGAGTTTTTCTCTGTCACCCAGGCTGGAGTGCAATGGCACAGTCTCAGTTCACTGCAATCTGAAGCGATTCTCCTGCCTCAGCCTCCCAAGTAGCTGGGATTACAGCTGCTCACCACCACACCCGGCTAATTTTTGTATTTTTAGTAGAGATGAGGTTTCTCACTGTTGACTAGGCTGGTCTTGAACTCCTGACCTCAGGTGATCCACCCGCCTTGGCTTCCCAAAATGCTGGGATTACAGGTGTCAGCCACCACACCCAGCCGCTCCGTTTTCAAATGTATTCAATACTCCTGGTCTCTCAATGTCTGTCCTTTGGATTCTCCTTTGAGCTGGCTGTTACATTTTACAGTTTCCTTCTTGTAAATAATGAGAAAAATAAAGTGTGTAATGGGTGTTCCTTCTATATCTACTACAGAATCATGATTTTGCCTTTTTTGAAAATTCTCCTTTAATACAAGTTAGAGTCAGAAGATCAGCAGGGGCACTGAGAGGGGAGGAGAGGCAGCCCGACCTCCTTCCCTGGGCCCTTCTTGTCTCGGGATTTTCAGGGCTCAGTGAGTTGTGTCCACCTTTCATCTATGTAGTTCCATTTGCTTTCAATCCTATCTGATTTTGGCTTCACCCACTGGGCACTCAGCATTAGTTCTTGGCTTCATATTGTCACAATTTCCCACTCTTGACTAAATGCGATGTGCAGATGCCCGGAGGAGAACAAGTGAGGAGGGAAACGAGAGGATCAAAGCCACCAAGAAGGCAAGCAGAGGGCACAGAGCCCGCAGCTCCCAAAGACAGCCCTGACTCCGAGCTGGGAGGACCCTTAGAAAGGAACTCAGCTGCCTACAGACATTCTCATTAGTGCTTAGTGCTTAGTGCTTCATCCACTAAGTCTTTCATCCAATCAAGTTTAGGAGGGTCACAAAAGTTTAACAGCAGAACTGGGCGGGTGGTTAAATGTCAGTAATGGGGGAAGAGGAGCAGACTCATTCCTTGGGTGTGCTGCATGGGGAGAAAGGGGATCCATGAGAGGAGGGCAGTTTAGACACAGCTGGGTCCTCCCAGTCACCAACCGTCCATGTTCCAAGGGCTTTTATAAAGGTACTGTTACTGTATGAGCCACACATTCTACTCCTGGGTATTCACACAAGAGAAAAGAAAGCACATGTTCATACAAAGACTTGTGTACATATTCACATCAGCTTTATAGCTCCAAACTGAAAACAACCCAAATGCATATTCACAGGTGAATAAATGAAAAACTGTAATTTCTTACTATTCAGCAATAAAGAGAAATGAACCACAGAAACATGCTACATGAGTGAATCTCAATATGGTAGAAACCAGAAAAAGAAGAATATATGGCTGGGTGTTGTGGCTCATACCTGTAATCCCAGTAACTTTGGGAGGCTGAGGAAGGAGGATGGCTTCAGCCCAGGAGTCCAAGACCAGCCTGAGCAACATAGACTCCTTCTCTACAAAAAAGTTTTTTAATTAGCCAAGCATAGTGGCATGCATCTGTCATAATCAACAGTCCCAGTTACTTGTGAGGCTGTGGTGGGAGGATAACTTGAGCCAGGGAGGTCGAGGCTGCAGTGAGCCAAGATCACATCACTACATTCCAGCCAGGGTGACTTCTTCTCAAAAACAAATTATACATATAATTATACGTATAATTATACAAATTATACATATAATTTGTTTTTGAGAAGAAACTCTAATAAATGCAGAATATAGTGACAGAAAGTAGTGATTGCCTGGAGATGGAGTTGGGGGATGGGGCTAGGGATGAGAGAAAAGGATCACAAAGAGTGAGAAGGAAGCTTCTGAAACTGAGGGCTCACCTGATTTAAGCCCACCAGACTTAACCTGCCTTGTTTGTTTCTAATCACTTACTTCCAGTCGATCCTAAAAGCTATATAGCTAAAAGCCAAACAATATATAACTAAACTTTCACTAGCTTCCTTACAGATAACATCTCTGATGCATGGATCACCATGGCAATGGTTACCCAAGTTATTTTTCAGGAGCTTGGGGCATCCCCTGTCCAGTCCACACCACTGACTGCTCGACTCAGCTTGCAAGGCTTTCAGGGGTGCTAAAAAATTGACCTTTGATGTCAGAGGACAAAAAATCCCAACCTTAGATTATGCTAACACTTTCATTTCCTGAATATATGCCCTATGTAGGACCATGTGGCCTGACTATGCTTCTGTAGGACCCTGATTACCTCACCTTTTCTACCACTTCACCGCACTTTACCACACTTTAGGCCACCCCACTTTCTGTCCCATGAATATCTCCAAGCCCTATTTTTAGGGAGATGGATTTGAGATTTGTTCTTCTGTCTCCTTACTTAGCAGCCTTATGAAGAAATTCTTTTCTCTGTTGCAAAACCTGTTGTCCCAGTGCTTGGCTTACTGTGCACAGGCAGAACAAGCCTGGTTTGGTATCACTTTTAAGGTGATGAATATGACCACGGACAGTTTTATGGGGTAATACGTATGTCAAAATTTTTCAAATTGTACACTTTAAATGTAAATAGTTCATTGGATGTCAATTACCCCTCAATAAGGCTTTTATAAAAATATATTTCATGGCTTCCATTGTAATCACCTCTGGCATGCATCCTTATCCCCCTTGCCCCTCTCTTGCTGTCACTTGAACAAACCACAATTTAGTTTATATTCCACTATCCCTCTGCTCTACACCTGCCCCCACATAGTAAACGACATGAAGGAAAACTCACAACTTTGCACACTGGTCTGGCTTTGAACAGACAACCACTGTTCAAAGGGCCCCTCACTGTTGCCCAGCAGTCATTCCATACTTCCCAAGATCATTCCTTTTCCCAAGCCCCAGATGACTGTTTCACATTTTCTCCCTTTCAGTCAAACCTCCATTGCCACCCATCTCATCCTCATTCTTAGCTCATGGCCTTAACTTTCTGGTTCACAGAGAAAATAGATGAAAGGGAACAGAACTCCCACGAACTCCATGGGCATCCACACCACCTACTTGCATCTGTTCTCAGAGCCTCTGCCTTCCTTTCTGTTCCCCCGGAAGAACACTCCAAGATCCCATCGATGGCCAAACCCAGAACAGCTGGAAGGACTGCCCAGTCACAGTCACTCCTTGTTCTTCATTGATCACAAAGGCCAGCCAGCCTCCCACTGATTCAAAGACCTTGCCACAGCAGGTCTCTCTCGTCAGTATTCCCTCATGTGCATCCTTCCCTTCAGCACACAAACATGCAGTTATTTCTCCTGTATTAAAGGGAATACCTCAACCCCATTTCTCCCATGGGCCTGTTTCTCTGCTCCATTTTATAGTAAAACTCCATGACAGAGTTGTCCTAGCTTCAGTTCTCTTCTCCCTCACTCCCTGTTGAATCCACTTCAGTCACCCTCACTCATCTTTTGAAACAAGCCTTTCAGCAAGGTCATCAATGGCCACCACTTTG